TTTCTCCGATCACAAATGCAGACATGGTTTTATGTTTACGCGGCGCAATACGCAACGCAAAGCATAAAAAGACCGTATAAGTCATTATAATCAGTAATTATGTCCCCACTGGATGCAACAAATCCCTCGTTTGTAATGGGTGTTATTGGTTTTGTCTCATCTAGTGATGTCCGGATCGCAAACGAATCGTTCTATTTAACTGGATCTTCTTAGTGAACCGGTCGAACCAGTTCACCAAATCGAACTGAATCATTTGAAATGGTTCGCGTCTCCAGTACGCACTAATTCACAAATTACTTAAATTATTCGGTTTATAAACGTGCCTGACACTCCCTCTGACGCGAAATAAACCAATATCCCGAGTTATTCAGTTACTCCTAAAACCACATAAACACATTGCATTACACCAAATACACAACATAATGTTCGTTTTAGCAACGTCATATGACCCCTTTAAATATTTTAAGGATATTAAATAAAATAAGTTTTAGCAATGTTTCTGCAAAAGTTTAATTGACTATTGCATTTTACTATAATTTAACTCCATGGGTACTTATTGTTTCTTAAATTGTATATCCTTTTTTTCTTTTCTTGCTTCATTTCTTTGCATCTTACCTCTTCCCTCCACATACTGTGTGTGAGAGAAAGATACAATGAAATGGTACAAGGACATAGGAATCAAAGATAAACATCTGTAAATTGGAATATTTTTGATCACTCAAGCATCACTTCAAAGTCTCTCCTTTCTATGAGGACATAGGCATGTTTCGCTTGAGATTTTTTTCTAAAAGGCCGCAAGTCACCTCAGCTGCTTCCAGTTCTGGTCCTTCTACTTCCGGGTACGAGGCCTCAGTGATGCGTGTTTAGGGAGAGAAAGGGGATGTCACAAGACTAGTTTTGCCAGGTGAATCTCTGCAAACCTCTCATTCCTCCCACAGTACGTCTTCCAGTAGAGTTACCAGATGAGTTTGAGAAATCATCTGAGCGCGAGTTTGATTTTTCATTTGGGGCTCGTGAGGACAGTGAGCTGTCAATCGCAGCATCAGCGAGTGGGTTGGGGTCATTAGAAGCAGATGACTCAGCTGGAGCAGAATCCCCAGGTACTTCGTATCAGTCTGAGGCTGACGCTGAGATGGCGGCCATGCTTAGTCAGCTGAGAGTATCAGGCTCCCCCACCCTGCCCTGATCACACTCGGCTGAATGATTGGTTCTTGGGGTCCGAGCGTGATACTTAGCCATGCTCCCCTGCAGTTCCTTTCTTTCCTGAAGTTCATGAGGAGCTGACAAAATTGCGGACTGCCAGAACACAGTGCACCAGCTCCTTCATTCTCACCACCCTTGATGGTGGTCCAGCGAGGGGGTACACGGAGGTTCCCAGATGGAGAGAGTGATTGCGGTTCATCTTTGCCCATAAAACTGCCGTCACCTGACGGGACCACATGAGACATCCATCCAGGGCATGTAAGTTCACCTCATCCCTCGTGGCAAGAGCTTACACTGCCTCTGGACAAGCTGCGTTCACCCTGTACGCCATGGCCTACCTGCAGATCTACCAGGCCAAGGTGTTGAAAGATCTGCATGAGGGTGGTCCCAACCAAAGAGATGATCCAGGAGCTACACTCGGTGACTGACTATGCTCTTCGGGCTATGAAAGTCACGGTGCACGCTCTGTGGAGGGCGATGTCCACATTAGTGGTCCAGGAGCGCCACCTGTGATGATTGGTTGGAGGGGTAGGGGTAAGGGGAAGGGCCAGACAGCCCTTCAAACGAAGATTTTTCGGGACCACACTTCAAACGAAGGGGTATGAATTATCTCAGCATAAACCGGCTTCAGCGGCAACACATGGCTGCCCGAGCGAACAAAAAGACAGATAAATGTAAGCATTTTTGGCATTTATAAAGATTTTAACTGAAAGTAATCATTTGTTTTATGTTACATTCAATTGTGAGTTCATATTTATGGTCATGTTACTCAAAGAAATGTTTGCAAAAAATCACTAATATTTGCTAGCATTTCTCTTTTTAGAGTGAGTTTACTTAAAAAACAGCGATTATATCCTCTGGTTGCTGGAACATATAATGTAGCGATTCAGTATTTAAACTGTTGTTAATAAAAGTCGTGGGGCAGTGTTGACAAGTTTCTTTTCTCCTGGATGATACTACCTACAGACACACCTGAAGAGGTGCATGTTTTGAGTGATATTGCGCATGTTTCTTTAGCTGCAGCGGAGCACAGTCTCACACTTTGCTTATATAGGTACATATCAAAATAACAAATTCATAATCTTTTCCACTGTTTATTTGTAAACAAACAAAGTCTGCATAGGGAGAGAATGAAGTGTATTAGTAGTCAACATTGAAATAGGCATGTGATATAATGATGTGAATTGTTTGAACTGTTTGCTAAACGCTGAACACACATTTTTGGCAGTGGTCTAGTGTCCTTGAGTTATTCAGCCTGAGGGTGGTCCTCTAATGTTTAATGACAGGCTTTAAGTACATACACACATTAAATGTTATCTTAGAATGTGTACCATAATTTCAGATGCAAGTATTTATTGCATCCAAATGTTGATTTAGAATGTTACAAGTTGTGAAGGAATTCAGGAGAGGAAAATATTCGATTTTCAGAACAAACATAAAACAAATAAAACAGGCTGTTCACATGAGCACATTTAAACTAAAAGATGTATACTTTCACTAATTTGGTGTACTACTTCACTTTAATTTCTTGAAAAACGCTATAGAATCTAAACAAATGGAAGTGTGCATGAAATGAGGATGTGTCACCAAACATTAGAATTCTTGTGAGACAGAGAACACTTAACCTGTAAACATCCCATGTACACTTCAAGTGTCTCTCAGTCTTTAATAGTCCATTATTTATATTACTCATTCTTAAGGTGAGAGACTTGAACGAACCCTCACCATGATTATTAAACTTTTTAACCTGATCTTTTTTAAACATTTTTTTTACCTGATCTTGTCTATCTATCCAACAGAACGTTTCAGGATCTTGCAAGACAGATGGACTATTCCTACGGCACTGTTAGGGACTCAGCAGTGTACGATTACTTCAGAGCCAAAGGTACAAACCCGCTGGAGCAGGACAGCACGTATGCAGAGCTGTGGAGGACAATCAGCAAAAACAATGGACAGGACTTCTCCGTTTCTAGCCCTTCTGAAGGCATACGCAAGGTATGATCGTTGCTCACCTATATGCTATATGATTTCAGAGATTTATGAAAACAGAAAGACATTGTAAGAACTGTGTTTTTGGCATAATCTTTTGGGATAATCCTTCAATCTTTACTAATCTCTTATTTGCATCCGAATTTAGTCTGTTACAGTTGTTGTAATTGTTGGGGCATCCCCCTGAAATTCTGAGTCAGAAAAGTATGTCTTTAGCTCAGGAGAGCAGTCATTGAAAAGTTTTGGCAAGCCAGTTGCTATAATCAAATATTCAACATACAACAGGTGAATGTGACATAGCTTTTCCTCTACTTTCTTACTTCTAAGTGATGTGACTTCTCAGTGACGATGGTGATGGCCAGAGGAAATGCTAAATGAATTCTAGAATATTCTGGGCTCTGCACATTGAGTCACCAGATAATGAACTGATCCAAAAGCATTGAGCAAATGAGCTTGTTTTAGAAGACGGGTGGCATGTCTGTAGGTGTGTACATTTTAGCATCTTGTCAGACTGCATATGATTGATGCACATAGTAAAGAGGGGATGTGTAGGATCCCTTAAAAACAAAAATGAAAAAAGGTATATTTAATTTAACTTATGAACCTAAAAGTTAATTTTATTAAGTAAAGTTCAAGTATATTTTGGGTAACACTTTATTTTAAGGTGTCCTTGTTACACACGTTACATGTACTTACTATTATAACACTTAATTATGTATAATTGCATGCAAGTAACCCTAAGCCAAACCCTAATCCTAATGTAGTTAATTAATATTGCTCAGTACTTAAATGTATAATTGCACTGTAACAAGGACACCTTAAAATAAAGTGTAACCATATTTTGTAAGTGTACTCTGTGTAGTAGTAAGCATATTAATTCCAATGTACTAGTAGTATACTTGTAAATGCACTATTTAATTACTTATTGGGATTAAATCGAGCCACTTTTTAGATTATTAAAGTATAGGCTACATTTAAGTGTACTTTCTGTTACAGTTGTAATTTTTTTCTTTTGAGTACACAAGTTGGTAACATGTTTTATGGTGTCTGTTACATATGTTACACATACTTACTATAGTAATAACAATAAAGGTGACACTTTAGATTAGATTAGATACATATTCACTATTTACTAAGAGTTCTCCCTTATTAAACTCCTAATTTTCTGCTTATTGATAGTAAGGTAATTTTTGTTGTAATAGTTATTATTTTTAGATATTGGGTAGAGTTGAGGGATCTAGAATCTAGAGACCTGTCACAATGGGCATGCAGAATAAGGCATTAATGTGTGCTTTATAAGTACTAATAAACAGCCAATATGCCAGTAATATGCATGCTAATAAGCAACTAATTAATAGTGAATAGTATTCAGACTTTTAGTATAAGGTGACATTGTTACTTCATAATTACACAAAGAAGTACTGAGTAATATTAATTAATTATGTACTTACTAGGCTTAGAGTTACAGTAGTTACTTGTAATTATGCATAGTTATTACTATAATAAGTACATATGTAACTGTCTCCTTAAAATAAAGTGTTTAAGACTGATAAAAAGTAGAGTATGTCCATCCATCATCCATTCTCCAAACCTCTTGTCTGAAGCATATCTGAAGGACTGAAGCATATCTCAGCGTGTTAGGAAACTCCGTCCCCCATGTGAAAAGGGTTGCAGCTTGCTTCTGCACTGCAGCAACCATCAGGTGGGAAGCCTGACACACTCATCTCTCTAAAAACCAGCTACTGTGTTGTACCCTATGGTGCTCTAGAGTGGACCAACCAGTCATGGTTCCCGGAAATTGGGAAGAATTTGTGAGTTCTACCATAGATGATACGGTGGAACTCATAAATTGTCTCACCATAGATGAGACAATCTGAAATCCTAACAACTGGAGTTATGGTTTGGTATTTGGTATGCCATGTTTGGTAGTTCAGCAAAGCCTGCATGCTTGCTGTCAAAATCAGTAAAAGATTACAATTTTACAAGCAGTGCTGAAAGGGCATGAATAGGGGTATTTACCTGATGTTCTGAAAATGGAATGTGAGTGTCAATTGGAGCTCTAAGTCTATGTAGCTGCATTTCACCAAATCATGCCTTTGTAGCTGGCTCGTCTGTGGGCAGGCATGACTTAATTATAGAAATTGCTAACGCCCAGTTGCTCCTGTCTGGAGTTCCGATCAGATGCTTTCAGAGCTAGTTATGTTCCAAAGGTGCTAGTCGTGCTCTTTAGTGCTCAGGCTAGTGTGCAAGCAATCTTTCCCCCACCATTTAGAACAAACACTTCATATATAATGTCTGGTGCAGGCATTACATATATATGTGAAGCGCACCCACAGGTTCAGACTGTCAGAGAGCTTTTTTTAATCTTTTTTTTCAGGATGTACAAAAGGTATATCCTCACATATTTCCTGCGCCCATGGATCGCAGGGTTTATTGTGCTCTATTGGAGTGAAATTCCACCCATTAAGGGGGATGGCCTCCCTTGGGCATAGGCAATGGTGTCTTCAGGACATGATGATGGGCTAATCCTGGTCCTTACTTGTTATTAGTTAATTTATTTGCTCCGTCTGGCCCTTATTTTCTTCTTTGTTTCTACCTGTGCATTTCTAACCCTCTGTTTCAGTTGTGTATTGTCCGTTCTCTTCTTTATTATGGTTTGCAGCATCTCAGTATTGTTTTTCTTTCCTGTTCTCCTACGTGTTTGTTATTTGAATTTTGTTTCAATAAATATACCGCTGCGATTATATCCTACCTCAAATCCTCATTGTTCCTGAAACCAGCTGTGACATCTACACCATTTGCATGATGTACTTAATGGGGGAAAAAAAGTTATTAAAAGCACAATAACTCATGAAAAATAATTAAATTCGGTAGTCATATGCTATACAGTTAATTTTCAGATATAGCCATTCACTGAGAAAAAAAAAAGACTTTTAAGAGCAAGCATAAGCCTCTGCCAGTAGTTTGCTTCAGAATTAAGCAGGACTATTGGATTTTGATAAATTCACAATATGCTCTTGAGTAACTACTGCACCAATGGATGGTAGGTCTGATTGCTAGGTCCGTGATTCCCAATTATTATTTTTTTCTTTCATCATCCAATCACATATCTCAGTATACAGAAACTAAAACCAAGTAAATGCTATTATAGGCAATTATTTTTTCTGCGTTCTATACTGACAGTTTTTGTAGAAGACATTGGCTAAAGAAGCGTTGCTAATTAAGTTAATTACTGGTTAACTTTTGTCTTTAATAATTACTTTTTTATACGTTTTATATTTTCAGTTGACTAGCACTAGCATTACCTTGTAGACTGCAGGGAAATTATTTTCCATTTAGTATCGGTTGTTAACATTTAGAATTGATGACCGATTGTCTATACAAGAGGCTTTTCTCTGAAGTCATCTTTTAAAATATCTTAATGTGCCCTTTTGAAATGAACAACGGACATTCAGTGTCAGTTCTTGAGAAACTCAAAGAAACAACTTTGAAAAGATCAAAGAGGAAGACTAGAGGAGTTTGATGAAGAAACTTTTAGAGTGCATAATGAGTTGAGGATGTGAAATCCTTTGAATCGGCCAATGAGGGCAGGTTTAGATCAATGAAGCTCCTTTTAACGAGAAAGAACTCAATAGATTAGTCAAGATTAGCCTCCAGAGTGTGATTGCAATAATAAAACACTTAAACAATAATAACTTTAGAGGATAAATAATGATAAATTGTATTGCTACCAGTCACAATGGTTATAAAGTTTTGATAATCATTCTAATTCTATGAGAACTGGGATGTCCACACCACAGCTATAGCGATAATGACACAAAGGAATTATATCATTAGAATCTTTTTTATTTTTTGAAGGACAGAAATATTCACAGATAATCAGAACCCACTCGGCAATCTAGCTTGAGCATTTAAAGTGGCGGACTAGATAGCTACAACCCACATTTATAATAAACAATTAACACTAATATATTTATTATTTATGGTGTGAACTGGCCTTTATACTGCAATCCCAACACACATTAAAAGATAATTATTCAAGTGTGTTGGTCAGAAAACTCTCTTAAATTGAATCTTAAGATGTATTTTTTTTTTTCAGGCCAAAAAAGGACCTTACGCATTTTTGTGGGACATGGCCGTGGTGGAGTATGCAGCACTGACAGATGACGACTGCACCATCACTGTAGCTGGCAACAGCATGAGCAGCAAAGGATACGGCATCGCCATGCAGCATGGGAGTCCTTACCGAGACCTCATCTCCCAAAAGTGCGTATTGCTTAAAAAATAACATGCAGCTGGTGTAAGGAGTATCTGTTGTTCAGGCAAAAGCTTGTCATAATTATTTTAAGCTGACAGTGCTTTGGGGAATTTAAGGAGCTGTATGGTGAAGAGTTGTACTCTAACTACTGCAAATGTGTCCCATGTGTCATACAAAAAGTGAATGAGGCAAAATATTTCACTGAATTTCACGTGTTTCTTATATAATGATATATATTCTGTTGTTTGGTGTGTGTTTTCAAGAGATACCTGTAATAATAACATGCAAATCCATTTGAAGATTCTGCAGACATGTTTCAAAAGTTTTTCATTAGCCTGCTCCAGTTACCACATAAATGACTCGCAATGTCACAGGAACTTTGAATCTCCCACAGTTCACAGCTATTCTTTATTACCCACAAAGCCTTGATTTGACATTACCAGTTGTTTCTTAGGTTTAGTTTTACATGCATTACAAATTGATCCCTTTGTGAATGTAACAGATGCCAGCAGGCTGTTTAAAGCTCTACATAATCACTTGTAACCAATTAAGATTGTTGAATTGCATTGCTTTTGGATTTTGTTAAGCTGGGTAATGATCTTTGGTTGCCTTCTCACTCACTCTGTATCGATCTATCTAGAATATATTAGCATGACCCAACCACCAGCAATACCCAGCATCAAATGTTTTGCCTTGTGTTTGGACATTTATGTCGTAGTTCTTGTCTAGTGTTACAGAACAGCTGACCATGAAACACCCCCAATACCCCTAAATAGGGCACTATTTGAGGGGAAAGCCATTTGTAGTGGTGTCTGAAACCATAGTGGATATTATCGAGTGCACTCATTCAATCCCATAATGCAACACAATGACGAGTGAACAACCGACGTACACTCAACAGCTAGAGAATACCCATAATGCACTGTGAGGGTTGTGACAAATGAATTCCTTCGTCTCGCCAGAAGATGGTGCATGCAGCTGAATCATCCATCCACACTTTCCCAACTGCTGGTCCAATTACTGATATTACGGCAACTGTACAGCATAATATCAGGTATACCTTTCATTAGAATTTAATGTTAAATATTTTAATAGAGGTTTACACATGCTAGTTTCCATGACAGAGTTCAAGATTAATATTTTTTATTACTACTGGAGGTGCCAGTTTGCAAAGTTTTCGAATGATTATTAAACAGCAAGCACAAACTATGCAATAGCAGCAGCCCTTCCGGCACACTCAGTATCCAAATTCTCACACTCGTTTTTATTCACTCCTTCAGCTGGACTATATTAGTGGACTAATATAGGGAATAGTGAATAAGGTTATAGAGGGTGATTTCGAACACAGGACAGGGCTTAAATACACAAGATAAACGAGGAGACATAGGACACCTGGGGACACAATCAAGGACAACGGCTGACCTGTTGGCCCATGGGGACCAAGATTCAATTCCTGCTGCCTTATATATTTAGTTTAATATTAAACAATACTTTATTTATTTATTTTATTTTTTATTATTTTATTTTTTTTAATTTTAGCTCAAGGTAGGCTAACAATATTGTGAAATTAGGCCGTGATCCCACTCCTCCTTACTCACCTCTACTTTTCTATCTACACTCTGTCATCTTAGAAAAGAATGGCAAAAATCTCCAAAAATAAAAAAATGCCTCGGGCAAATAGGAAAATGCATTCTAAGGCAGCTTGGAGGGAGTTTGCAGGTATTACGCAGTGAACCGTAATGTCATCTCCTCTTAAGTGAAGAATTCATTTTACTATTTTGCTTTGTGGCCCATCATTATCTGTTCTCTCTACCACTGTCGTCTTGTGACAGCCCCCTTGCATGTTATATTCTTAAATGTCCTTACTTTCCTCTTTTGTTTGTACCAGCAAAGGTATAAAATGTAAAAAACATTTAACCAAGTAACATTTATGCTTAAGGTTAGCTACTGTAAGTGATTTCTGCGCATCTAGTGGCACCAAACAGAACTGCAAACATAACTAGATTTTCTAAAGAATAAGTATGTAGTGTTTGCCTGTGCAAAACTCTGGGTGTTTACTGGGGCATTGCCCTGCACTTTCATTGGTGTTATGGATAGGTTGCGAGTTAGTCCAATCTTATGACAATTTAATGTGGTAAACATTTTACTTTTTGGTGGCTAATTTGTATGATTTTATTTGTACATTTTCATATGATCGCATATGCCCAAGTGATGGTTATATATAGGGATGGGGTTAGGAGTAAACCTTCCTGCTTGCTTTTTTCTAAAAATTCACCTTGGACAAATTCATATGAACTCATCACGTTGTAAAATAGTTCCCTTTCATTCTGTCACTTTCGACGTCATGTAGGTGACCGACTAATTGAGAGCCCCAATTCGTCAGTTACCGACGTGACGTCTCCATTCCCTCCTTCAGGGAATGAGGGTTACATATGTAACTGAGACGTTACATTTTTTCTGTAAGATTGTGTTCGTTGTTCTGGGTAAATGCTTGCTTTGGGAAACTACTAATAATTAAAAACATCTACTAAAAAAATTCCAAACAGTTTCACAAACACTCCCATTGGTCAACAAACAAACAGCCCTGCCCAAACACACAAACACACACACCTACAAGTTTGCTGATTGGTTAACATGCACAGGATGCATTAAAAAAAAGAAAGAAAGAAAGAAAGAAAGGAAGCAACCATATGTAAAACTTCACATAAAATAATTACATTCCATGTCATCCTTCACAGGATTCTGGAGTTGCAGGAGAAAGGAGACCTGGATGTCTTGAAACAGAAGTGGTGGCCTCGGACTGGCCGCTGTGACCTCAACAGCCACAGTAATGCCCAACCCGATGGTCGGTCGCTCAAGCTGCATAGCTTCGCTGGCGTTTTCTGCATCCTAGCAGCAGGGCTCCTGTTGGCCTGTCTGGTGGCCGCCCTGGAAATTTGGTGGAACAGCAATCGCTGCCGGCAAGAGCAGCCCAAAGAGGTGACCGAGCTCAGGGCGCGGAAGACAGAGCAGGGAGAGGACACTGCCACACTCTACTTTAAGGATCCCGCAGCAGACGCGAGCCCCGATTTAGTCGAGCTCCAGTATACACAGTTATAGGTGTGCCCTGATGAAATCAAAATTGGTCCCCCGCCTACTTAACATAACGACAGATTTTATGTGTGCTTGGGGTGTGCACAGTGCCCTTGATGAAGCAGGCTTTACAATTTAGAATGCCACATTTACTAATAAGCTGTGATTGTAGACCATTTTAGAACACAACAGCTCTGCTTCAGAACCTAGTGAGTTGCTGTGTACTGTCTACAACAGGCAACTACCTTCCAATGTAGGTTTCTAACTAAAATGGAACCTCACTACAAAGACAGCAACATTTATAGTTCTGCTTGGTGAGCTCAATTCCAATATTGCAATTAGCATATTGGTAAGTTAAAATGTGATACTCCAAAAATACATAGTACAGTGTAAGTTATTTTATTGACAACTTTCCGTATTAAATGTATATTCAGCACTATCTTGGATCTTTTTCCTTTTTTTTTTCATTGAGCTCATTGCACTGCATTCAGAAATGCCTTCTCTCTAAAAAAAAATGCAATAATGCTTTCAATTTTGACCAAAATAAGGTATCTAATCTTACTTCTGGATGAGTTTTTACATTGTGACATGCCTATGATGCCTTGAAGTGTGTCTAGGCTGACATTTAGAACAGAGTTACTGTATTCCACCAATTACATTTTTCTTTGAATCCAAAGTAAGAATAGTAGATAGACTTTTTTCATTCCAAAGTTCTCTATGGAGGCTAAATCATATTACTCTTTTTTTATATTATCCAAAAGATTATCAGACATTTTCAGCTGAAAAAATACCTCAAATACAAAATTGTTTCAGAGCAACTTGCACCTTGGCAGTGGCAAAATATTACAAATGTTTTTCCAGTATTCTATACCAGAAATGTCCTTAGATCTTTGGTAACCTTGCAATGTTCATCTGTTTAATTTATTCTTTCTTCCATTTAATTTTTTAAACAACAGTTTATACCCATAATTGTGCCTTCATGATGCAATTAAGTGTCTAACTTTAGTGTTCTCTTCAAATCAGCTACTTCTAAATATCTGAATAATTGCTTCACTTTATAACCTCTTTTATAAACCTTTCTAAATCCTCATCCACTGCCAATGAAACTGTATGTAATAGACTGGACCAGGGTTGATGTGGATCCGTAAACTAAAGTGTGCGCAAATTGTGTGCTTGCATGATTCTGTCTGCTCAGATATTCTTAAAAAAGAGCCACCCCAAAAACATAACTCGAACCCCAAACAGTCAATAATCCCTAGTAATTTACTGTGTGACATCCTGTTGCAATTATATGTCAATGTGGACAAGTTTTATGGATTTAATTATTGGATTTATTTATCTCTATATTTTCTATTTTACATTTATTCTTCATTTGTTTATGATCTCATGCAGGTTAATAAGGATTACAGACTGGCAAGGGTTTCTGGTCCATTGACATATAATGATATTGCTACTGCTTCATCGGAGGGGAGCAAGGACATTTGGACAGACAGAGAAAAAGACTGGGATGAAGCAGAAGCTATTGACACAGGTCAGAATAGAATTGTAGGCCTCTTTTTTGATTGGCTGGGAATTAACCGGACCAGATGTAGAAGCCATCAAACATTAAAGATTTCTTTTATTTTGTGTTTTAGTTGCCTCATTTAGTAGATTCATCTTCCAAATTGTGTTGGGTTTAGAATGACGCCTCTGCTTTTCCTGCATTTTTTATTTTTTTTATTTTTTTTTTAAGTATTAGCAAAATACCACATTAATGATGATAAATTATTTTCCAGTTAAATCCAAATCAGTGTTAAGCACACTTCTGCTGTTTAATTGGTGGCATTTATTTTTTGAAACATTAAGCTATTGCAACATGATTATGAACATATTGCAATAAGAGTTCCACTACTTGTGGCAGTGATGACTTAATTAGTGTGAATCTCTTTCATGAATCAGTGATGTACAATTATGTAATCGCCCTATAATTTAAATGACTAAACACTAAAGAAATCTCGTAATTGTGTTAAAAATGATGCATGATTAATTTGCATACCTTCAAACGAAGGCGAGGATACATCAAACTCAGTCAAGTGCTTGCTTGGTGGTGTACATGACCATGAAAGAAGCAATAAGATTCCACAAGGATAAATGTCATTGCAAATAGCGTTGGTAGGGCAGCAGATGCCCTTGATTTCAGATCTCAGACTTTTTTCCTCCTCCTGTATAACAGGAAGGATAATCACAATATCACAATCAGAATAGGACTCAAATTTACACTTTAGAATCATTAAGATTCTTAACAAGATTCACTAGTAAGAAGGTTAGCTGGAAATTATTGAATGGCCTGAAGCAAATCTAGAATGCACTCTCCTTATAGATGAATGGAAAGCTTGATGCTCAGGTTTTGGATTAAAAATTAACCTGTTCTTTATCATGATGATTGACATGAAAGCTGAGTTTGGGTAGTTTCACCACCTGTTATCTGTTTGCAATAATAAAGCTAGGTCTCTGAACCTGTGTTCTTTTACTTTCTGCAAACTGTGGATACAATTTACAAGTCACAATTTACCATCTGTTGATTGACTATGGTGAAATGACTAAATGAATAGATACACTATTTATAGGACAAGAGGAGTAAATTGGTAGTACACATATTTAGTCTAGAAGTCATTGCATCCGGTTAGACAGATAATGCCCAGTCCCGCATATTTCAGCACATCCAAATACACTAATCAGATCTGAAAATATTGCATCCCTAAAGTGTAATGCATCCATAGAGGAAATGTGGCTGTAGTCTGACAGAAACCAAACATGTTTTGGAAAAAACACATAATTGAGTGTTTGTAGCTGAGAATAAGCAATCCGGTTATTTCCTTCAGTTCAGTTATTTTTTTATTTTTTATTTTTTTACTTGTTCACTTTTTCCAGCAAAAGTCTGCATTTATATATATATTTATACAACAGTTCATTCTGGTTCTCAAATCTGATTGGTTGAGAACCGTGAGATATTGTACTGGTATCGCTACAGGAACGCCCTTTCACAATTTTTTTATCACTCCGCTTGTTCTAGCCGGGTCTATGTTTTTTTTTTTAATTATTCACTGAGCTAATCGTAGAGTACGTTAGTTAATATAAGAAGAAACGTCTAGCTTCGCGGTCTCTCTCTCTCTCATTTGGATGCTCGTCTTGTCGCATTGTTTCTCTCTTATAAACTCATTATTTCTCACTAATAACCTAACTGAAACAGCAAGAAATGTCTAGCTTCGCGGTCTCTCTCTCTCTCATTTGGATGCTCGTCTTGTCGCATTGTTTCTCTCTTATAAACTCATTATTTCTCACTAATAACCTAACTGAAACAGCACATGCCCTTGATACGAATTCTAAAAGTGACGTATGTTTAACTGTCAACTTGAGCTTTGAATCCGTGGCGGAAGGAATTAGTTCCGCACAAAAGAGGGTTTTATTAGACACTCCGTTGTTTCTTGTTTAATTACACACATGTTCCATCGAACTGTTGTATAAATGCAATATCACTCTCGTACTCGAGCAATACCGGCTCTATATCAGCAGCTGTGATTGCCTCAGGCCTAATCACAGCCATGCTGTTATAGAGCCGGTATCGCTCTCGTACTCAAGTGATATTGCTCATTTAAACAATGTTGATAACCAAACAGTTGGTTGCCAACATTCTTCAAAATATCTTCAAATTATCAGCATTGACTTCCATAGTATGAAAAAAAAAATACTATGGAAGTCAACGGGGACCAGCAACTCTTTGGTCTCCAACATTCTTTGACATATCTTCAATTTCTGTTCAGCAGAAGAAAGAAATTCATGGAGATGTAGAGCAATTTGAGGGTGAGTAAATGATGATTCATATGTGGGTGAACTATCCCTTTAAGGATTGAAATGCTTTTCTTTTGTTTTAGTTTGGAAAATAAGCTCTATATCAGCGGCTGTGATTGCCTCCGACCATGCACAGCAATGCTGATATAGAGCCGTTATCGCTCTCGTACTCGAGTGATATTGCTCATATACTGAACAAAATTATAAACGCAACACTTTTGTTTTTGCCCCCATTTTTCATGAGCTGAACTGAAAGATCTAAGACTTTTTCTATGTACACAAAAGGCCTATTTCTCTCAAATATTGTTCACAAATCTGTCTAAATCTGTGTTAGTGAGCACTTCTC